TGATTTAGAAATTTTATTTATATATGTATGTAATTTTTATTTATGATTAAATTTTATCTGTTGTTCRCCAGGAAGATTTTTGTTTAACCCTTTAGATGAATTTGAAAAAAATTTGGTACATAAACATCATTTGAYGGCATTTGTAATTGGATACAAAGATCAATAGTTTGCTTTTCTACATCTATAATAAAGGGTTAATTTTATGAAATTTTAAATTTTTTTATTCAACTTATTTTTATGGGATGTCTATTATGTGTCAAAAGATATAAATTGTGACAGAGACTGGAAGGTGACCTAGCCAATAATCAGTCTTTTCATCTTCCTGAAAAGAATCCTGCTTTCAGTTGAAAATGAGATGGCTCTGTATCAAGGTGAAGAATGGCATCTCCTTCTTGATGAAAATGGCACGTGATARAGATGGTTTGACTAGTGCAACACAGCAGGAGTTGCAGGGTGAGTTCACTTGGCTGGATGTTAGTCTTTCCATCTTTCTTTGGCTTGTTGCCTAGAGCACAAAAGTAAGGACTGGAACTCTAGGCTAGGGGCCAACACTTAAAAGGCCAGAGCAGATCAATTGGCAGAACATTGATGACTGTACTAATCAGGATTCTACAGAGAAACAGGACCAATAGGAGTAATCTGTATTTCTTTCTACCATCTATCTACCTACCTATTTGCATATGTAATCTGTATATTTATTGTATTATATATCATGAAAATGCACAATAGAGTTTGTGCTTGGAGGCAGTGGGGCAGCAGAAATTTCTCTGTTAGCCTTTTTATTCTCTTTAGACCTTCAACTGATTGCATGAGGTTTGCAAAGATTAGAGAGAGCAATTTCACTTATTCAACCTATCACTTTAAATATTAATCTCATCCACAAACACCCTTATAGATACGTGCTGAATAATGTTGGACCAGATATCTGGGCTTTCCCAGGGTCTGGTCAAGTGGACACATAAAATAAACCATCACTGGGACATTTGGCCATGCCATACCAGATTAGCTTGTCTCCAGACTTCTTTATGTGAATGAAGAATAAACCTCTGTCTTGGTTAAACCACTGTTTTCCAGATGTCTTGCAGTTAAACGGAACTTCTAGTTGATATAGGAACTATGGCATTCAAAAATATGGATTTTGGGCTGGGACTGTGGCTCAGTGGTAGCGCACTTGCCTTTCATGTGTGAGGCACTGGGTTCGATTSTCAGCACCATGTATACATAAATAAAATAAAGATCTATCAACAACTAATGGAAAAGTATTTTAAAAAAGAAAATATGGATTTCCTATACGTATTTTAGAATCTCAAGCATCATTTTCACATGATAAACTCTTAGCAGATKAAATCAATATTGACATCTAAATAGAAATGTTAACTACCCTGAGTTGATTACTACATTATCTTCTATTATTTTTATTACTGAGTTATCTCATGATCTCTCAGAGTATTGGATTTATGTTTATTGAAGTTTCTTTTCTGGTAAACATTTTAGACCTCCTGTGAGGAGTGCTGAGTTCAGCCTGCTTCTGAGTTCATTATCACACTTGGTTCCTGCAAGACCACCCACCATCTAGTTTCAACAATTTATTTGTTCATTTAATTAATTCCTTTAAATTCTGTATAATGAATCACTTCCTCTCTCTCATTCCACAATCAACCTTTTTTAATGTGGTAGTGCACACTCTCTAGTATATGTTCTTACAAGTTGTTTCCTGTTTTATGTGTATATGTTTTCACAAGTTTTATAAGTGGTACTGCATTATAGTCTRTATTTTAATTTAATTAAACTTACCCTGTGTTCTTATTTGTCTACTAAACACTATATTTTAAGATCCATTCATGCTATGTGTACATTTACTACATTGTAAAAAYCTGTACATAATGTTCTTTAGAGTGCAACTATTGGTTCTCTCAAAGATATTTACTGGTTGCTTCCAAACCATTACCACCACAATAATGAAGCAACAAGCATGTATTTTCAAGTCTTTTTTAGAGCTTTTGTGTATATACATTATATATAGTATACATTTGTATATAATGTATGTTTGTATACATACATAATTATGCATGTGTACATACAAGCATAAATATTTTCTATGAAATGCATTGCTAAGTAACAGAAAATTCATATGAATAATTTGTCCAAGTAGTGTCCAAAATGGCTGAACTTATGACTCTCCTTCCAACATCATATGAAGAATGTCAACAACCCATGCTTTCTCCAAACTTGGTATTACTTACTTCTCAGTTTTTAGTGTGTGTTTCTCAGATAACTAATCATCTTATGTACTTCCTATCCTTTTGGAGATTCTTCTTCTGTACATCACTACACATTTCGTATTGAGAGGGCTGGGTTGTTTTGTTTTGTTTTGTTTTGTTGWTGATTTTCAAGAGTTCTTTGTGTATCTCATCATTCCCAGACTTAGACACTTGAAATGTGTTCTCCCTTTTCACCACATGTCCTTTATGTTGTCCATCAAATCTCTTACTAAACAGAAAAGCATAATTTTGATGTAACACAATCAAAATTTTATCTTATGACCTATACTTTTTTAAATTTGTTCTTTTTGATTACACATGATAATAGAGTATATTTTGACATATTTATACAATCATGAAGTATGTCTTCTTCTAATTAGGATTCAGTCTTGTGGATGTACATGATGTAGAGATTCACATGCCTTGGTATATTCATATATGTACATAGGGAAGTCATGTTAGATGACTCTATTTTCTTTCCTATTTCTATCTCCCCTCCCTTCCCTTCATTCCCCAATCCACTGAATTTCTATTCTTCCCCTGCTTTCCCCACCTAGATGTGTGTTATCATTCACATATCAGAGAAACATTCAAAGTTTGGATTTGRTGGATTGGTTTATTTCACTAAGCATGATAGTCTTCAGATTCATCCATTTACTAGCAAATGTTATAAAGTCATTCTTTTTCAGGGCTGAGCAATATTTCATTGTGTATATATACCACATTTTCTTTATTTATTCATTTGTTGAAGGGTACCTAGGAATTCAGACATGATCTATACTTTTTGAGGTTTTAAGAAGTCCTTCCCCACACCATCTCCTAATCACAAATTATTAGAGTATCTCATATTTTCTTTTATTAACTTTCCAAATTTATCTTTCATATTTAGATATTTAATAGATCTGGTAACTACCATTGTATGTGGCAGTAGGTGGAGTACATTTTTCTTTTTTCTCCATAAAATGAATCAATATTTTCAATATCATCTATTAAGAAWATAGTCTTTTTTCCCCCAGCATTGGCTGTATTTGAAAGGGCTATACTTGAGAAGGYACCATGTCTGCACAACCATACTGTATCAGAAAACCCCAGAATGGGGTACTAAAATGAACACCCTCCCCAAAATACACACACAGGTGCGCACATGCACACATATATCTTCTCAGTCCATCAGGGCACTGTAAACTGAGTTACAGGAGTGAGAGCCACAGCTCAGACACTGGAAGTAAAACCCTTGGCTAAAAAAATAAAAATGGTGGGAGGGAATAAAATCAGAGACTTCCAATTTCCTCTTCCCTTCCAGAAAGAAAAGGATGTCAAAGATGGAACTGGAAGTAAGTAGACTCTTACTACCACTCAGCCCAATTCCAAGAGCCCCACTGCCACTGAATAGATGTGAATGATGGCCTTTTGATTTGTGTAATACTCTGCTGGCCTGCTGTAAATGCAGCCCTGAGAGGGGTTCCCATGAGTAGCCACTAATAGAAAATGAAATTCTACTTCCATGCTCTACCAATTACCCTACTGAGGGTATCAGGGAACATTATAGTGGGGTCTGGCAGAGGCGCTGGCTTAAACAGGCAAGGCTACATTTTTTGCCCTTGCCCTGAGGTGAATGACAGGTAGTGCGTTAGCGGCCTAAGCTTGACCCCATTTCATCTACTTAGCCAGGAAGCTCAGCAGTAGAGAATATGGCCTGSACAGGGAGGGACACAGGACCCAGAGGCTTTAGCCAGTCAGCCTCAGGTAGGTTGTAGTGAGACTGAACCAACATATGATGGCTAAAATCC